AGAATCAAAGGAGCCGACCTAGAAAGGGTAGAAACCAGAGCCATTGCAGAGATCCAGGAAGCAGGAATCCATGGACTTGCACCTCCAGTTGTTTCACCAGCATGAATCTATGGAATCCACATTCCAAGAAGGGCGTTGCGCACTGGGGTCGGGCGTCCTATCCTTTAGCTGGTGGAGAGTGGGACATCCTGACAGACAGTACTCCCAGACTGTAACTGATTAAGGAAGAGTGAGTAGTTTACTCAAAAGAAATCTACCATGCTGTTTCCTGGAGAAGAATGGATGGTGGCCAGCAATTAAAATAAACGTACACTACAATGAACTTCAGAAGAGGTCTTCAGCGGTAAATAAGAATGCATTGTATATGAAAACATTGAATAAAAGAACATTGTATTCAGAGTGAAACACTCAGGGCGATGTGTCTACAAGAAGATTATACAGTTAGGAGAAATAAGCTTTAGTGATCTGTTCTACAAAATGGTGACTATAATGAATAGTAATGTGTTATATATTTCAAAATTGCTGAAAGAGTGTATTTTAAATGTGTTCACCACAAAAAAATGTTAAGTATGAGAGGTGATGAATTTGTTAATTAGCTTGATTTTATCATCTCACAATGTAAACATATACCAAAACATCACATTTAACCCATAAATTATTTACAATTGTGATGTCCATTACAAATAAAATTTTTAAAAGGAGGTTTACATGCAAAACTTTCTCATTGCTGCTTATGGATTGGGACAAGCCCAAGAGGAGTTTCTTGTTCATTATTTTTCGTTTGACAAATATTTATTTACCCACCCCAGTGATTCTAAGTCTAAGCCTCAGCAATTGTGGTCTAGGTCATTTCCTTTATTCACTGTCCCCAGTGCAGAGCTCAAGTGGCTTAACCTCAACAGCTAGCGACAGGGTAAGTTGGTCTTTTAGAAATCCAGAGGGACACCCCACAAAGGTTGCATATTAACACATTCATTTGTAAGTATAAAACAGTTACTTTACTTTACCTAATATCACAGTAGTAAATGAAAATAAAGTACAATTTCAAAGATGTACAGTGTGTTTTCTATTATAATAATTTTCCTTCAACTCCCTCTCGCACAATTGCATTAAACAATATTTTATTTTATTTTATTTATTTATTTATTTTTGAGACGGAGTTTCACTTTTGTTGCCCAGGCTGGAGTACAATGACGCAATCTCGGCTCACTGCAACCTCCACCTCCTGGGTTCAATTAATTCTCCTGCCTCTCCCGAGTAACTGGGACTACAGGCATACGCCACCACGCCTGGCTAATATTGTATTTTTAGTAGAAAAGGGGTTTCTCCATGTTGGTCAGGCTGATCTCGAACTCCTGACCTCAGGTGATCCGCCCGCCTCGGCCTCCTGAAGTGCTGGGATTACAGGCGTGAGCCACCGTGCCCAGCCTAAACAATTTTAAGAGAAATTACTTAGAATTTTACCACATTAAGACAACTCTTCATTTGTATTACTCCTCTTTTTTTTTCTAAAATGCATGCATTTTTTCTATTTATATGAGCAATGTGTGTCCAGTGGGAAAAATTTTAAAATAGGGCAATATATGAAGAATAAAATAACAATATATTAGTATCAAGAGATAATGGCTATTAATATTTTAGTGTATTTTCTTCTGCTCCTAATAATGACTGGATGAAAACAATTTGGCCAGAAACAAAATTGATATTCCTTATGCTCCTCTTTTGCTTGTATAATTTTCAGATATTTTGTAACAAGCTTTGTTTTTGTAGTAAGATAAACAAACAATAAAGCAATGTATAAAAGAAGAGAATCTCTGTATGTCTTGTTCATCCAGCTAGCTGCAGCTTCCAGAACACTGCTTGCCTCACAGTAGGTACTCCCAAAATTTTTTGAATGGCTAAAAATTTTTCCCCCTTGACCTAGTGAGGCATGGTTGCTAATGAACATGGACTCATTCTACAGGTATATTGGGTATTTTGTCTCTGGTTCCTTTTAGTAAATAGTTCATTCTATCACACAGGATCATTTTTGCTGTCTTAATATAAGACTGATTAAATTCAAATTCCAACTCCAACACTCACTAGCTATGTCATCTTGGCAAGAAACCTCACCACTCTGGCTCAGCTTCCTCATCTGGTAAGCACAAGTCCAGGTGCTGAGGGCACAACAAAACAAGAATCCTACCCTCTAATTTACATTCTAGTGTGCAGGAAAAAGCCTGTGGACAAACATCTGTCAGATAGCGATAAGCGCTGTGAAGAAAACAGAAAATAGAGTAAAGGAGATAGAAGGTGATTACCTGTGGGGGTGGATGACGGCATGTTGATATTTTGTAAAGGGTAGTCGGGGATAGCTAAAGGTTTAAAAAATAGGCCCAGCACAGTGGCTCATGCCTGTAATCCCAGCACTTTGAGAGGCCAAGGTGGCCAGATCCTTGGGCTCAGGATATAGCCTGGGCAACATAGTGAAACCCTGTCTCTACAAAAAATAAAAATATCTGGGAGTGGTGGGCTGTGCCTGTGGTCCCAGCTACTCAGGAGGCTGAGTTGGGAGGTTCGCCTGAGCCCAGGAGGTTGAGGCTGCAGTGAGCTGTGATCATGCCAGTGCACTCCAGCCTGGGTG